AGCTAACGTGGAAATAGTCGATACCACGTCTCCTATTTACAACACATCCCTATCTTCTTCGATTACAACTTTTTTTGAAGCAAGGAATTACTTAGTAGAGTCGCCTGTTGGTGAATTAATCAGGCCTCTGTTCTCCTTGCCATCCCTAATACTACTTGTGAGTAATCGTTCCTATCTCGACGTTCATTTTTGCTTACATTACAGCAGATAAAGCAACCTAATATGAGTCCACCTATTCCCGACTCTTTAAGGTTGTAGACTGCTGGGGTGATGAATTTGTGAGCTTTATGAAAGACGAGCTTGAAAGCATTTCTATAGTTCATGCCAATAATTGAACCGTTGCAATCATGGTCATTCGTCACGTTCGCGCTTTTTCAAAAATTTCGCGACCCCATCCACCTTGGAGGTCTCGCAATCCCACCACCACCGCTATCACTTTTAGAAGGCTCTCCCAGTGCGACCTCCCTGACCCTCACCACCATGGTTGTTTCTATGGTACTTGATTCTGAGATTTCTGAGGATTTCTGATACCAATCGATACACCCAAATTCCGTCCACTCTGTCCTCCATTTTCCTTCCAAAACGGCCGTCGGGCGGGGGGGGGGGGTAAATTGATAAATTATCATGAAGCGGCAAGTCCACCAATTTTGCCTAATTCTCACTACCTCCGTGGAACTTGCACCAAATTCGTCAAAAAACCCGAGTAGAACTCCTGTAACAACTATGATAACCTTGCTCAACCCCAAAATGCGATCCCCTTTCCCGAAATCACAAATGCGACCCCCTCGTTCGAATAGTGCGAACGGACGGTTGACCCTGGTTCCAGCCCCTGTACGGCCTAAAACAACTAACATTCTTCCCTTTCGGGCTGTTTGCGAATTTTGTTTATTAGTAAGTAGTCTGCTACATGAGATATGTTGCCTTGGTTTTTTTTTACTTGGGAAGCATGTAACTTCATTTTTCATCTCTGCTGTGGTCCTATCCGTGGCTGTTCGCATAAGGGTTTTGAACGTTGCTTTGATGTCGACTATTTTTGCTGCTTTTCAGATTTTGAATCACGACAGCGAAGTCACAAGCGTTGCATGGAGCCCAGATGGTAAACTTCTTGCTTCAGTTTCCAATGACGAGTCTCTTTTGGTACACGATGTGACAACAGGTATAAACGTCGTTATCACGATCACAATAGAATTTCTATTGCTTACGTCTAATACGTTCAAAAACTACCATTCATAGGCAAGCGATGTGTGACAGTCCGCAACCTAAGGCACTTCCCTAATGGTGTAGCATGGGATCCTAAGGGAAGATATCTCGTAACAATTGTCAACTGATCGCAAAATGGATATACTAGATGCAACCAAAGGTACTCGGTTACGGATGTTTGGAGTGTCCGCTTTGCCAGCAATCTCCATTGGTGATGTACCTCTGGAACACAAGGTTTGTTTTTTTTTGTCAGTTTTTGTTATTTTTTCATAGTTTTGTATTTCTTATGCTTTTCTTATTTACTATTTTACATTTTGCTCGGACTTTGTGGGATTATAGGAGAAACGTTTGGGGCGTAAGTTGCCACGTTTATAAACTTAATTTCACAAACTTCGTCTTTTTTTGATTCTGTTCACGTCCCTGTGTTCAGAAAATTGGCCATGACTTTACTCGCTCACGAAGATAACTTCATATAACAGCGCACAAGAGAAAGAACTAACGTGAGAACGAAGGCGAAAAAAAAGGGCTACCACCGCTGACTATGGACTGAAGCTAGGATGAAATGGTGCTCATTCCCAGGATTTCCTTGGGCTGTAGTGTAATCGGTAACATTTGCAGGGTGAACAAGATCAGGTTCGAGTTCCCCTTAGAGTGAAGTGTTTTGCCCATACCCAGCCGTTGTCATGATAAACTTCACAGTTTGAGTTTTGGGATAAATTGTGAGAGATAATTACAAATGTTCAGGTCTACAAACTTTTCCATGACGATCAGCTGATGAGTTTTCAACGAGGGGTGGCTTTTTCACCATGTGGACAGCTCATAATTGCTCCGTGTACGTTTTCATGAAACAGTATATGTCTTGTGCCTTATCATTATGACAGCGAATTGCAGGTGCGAATCTGGAAGTTCATACTCATGAACTTTTCGGAACGTATATCTTCAAAAGGAGTGAATTAGAAAGGTTACTTTTTCACCCGTGCCGCGATCTGATGATCTTCATATCATTTTCTAGCACTTTTCAGCGATAAACCGTTTGCTTTTCTGCCATGTCCAAAAGCTACATTTCTAATAAGGTGCTGCCCATTATTAATGACCCTTCAAAAGGATACAGAGAACTATACAGGGTAAGTAGCCTTCTTGCTTTTGTTCCTTTCAGGTTATTGCATAACTACATTTTTTATTAAGGCTTCCATATCGAATATTATGGTTGGCCCTTACCAAGGATACTGTATATTTGTACGACAGCCAGCATCCTAATCCGATCGGTCTTGTGGAGAATATACAGTACAATAGTTTAACAGATGCCGCTTGGAGTGCTGATGGAAAGAATATCATAATTTCGTCACTAGAAGGATATTGTACATTCCTGAAACTCACTGTCGAACAGTGGGGATGCACGGTACCATTTGCTCTCTTACTGTGAACTTATTTTTCCATCAAAAGTTAGTTCCCACTTACAAGTATGAGTTCAGATCGAAAAAGAGCAGGTAGAGGAATGTCCACCTTCTCCACAACTTATCCAAACAAAGAAAAGGAAACCCAGGGAGAAGAAAAACAAAGGTAGTTAAGCATCCTTAGCTTTTCTTCTGCAACTTACAGCTGTTGCGGCCCCTGCCTTTA